CAGGGTCCGCGTGCGAGGAGGTGGGGACTGGGCAGGGAGGCGTGGGTAGGAGCAGGCATTCCCCCCAACCTCGACTACACACAGCTGCCCACCACCCCCACCCCACCTCTCGTGGTCCAAAGTCCAGAAGCACTTCCATCTCTCTCCCCTTCTAGACCCACCGTGGAAAATCTTTCCAGGAAAGTGGCCTAAGTAAGAAAAAATGCTCACACGCACCTTTAATAAACTTCTTAAGAAAACCACAAACTGGACATCCCACCCCGCCCAGACTCCTAAATTTGGGAGGGCTATCAGCTCTCCGCCTGAGAACTGGCGTTGGTAAGTCCAGAAAGGGTTAGCGTTTTGCCCAAGGTCACACAGCGCCGGGGGCAGGTCTGACTCAAACCGCCGAGGCGTGCCTGTTGGCCGGCTCCGCCGGCAGTCCGGCGCCCAAAATCCCAACCTGCGACCCTGGCCCTTGGATGCTGATTACAAGCACTGGGGACCCGGTCTGTGGCCTGCGGGAACGCGACAGCCCCCTTCAAGAAAGGGGGGCCCATCCTCGTACTGCGCAGGACGCTCAGGAACTTCGGCTGTAGCTCGGGCGGCGGGGTCTGCCGAGAGGGCACCCCTGCCCCACCCCTGGCAGGAAGTAGCGGGTAGGGGGGCGGCGCGGGCCGCGACGGACCCGGGGAGCACTTCCTCATTGGCCCCGCGCTGCCCCGACGGCGGGAAGAGGGACGCGCGGGCGGGCCGGCGCAGGACCGGACACGCCGCCACTCGCCGGCGCGCTCCACCTCGCGGCGGCCGGGGAGAGGCCGCCCTGCCCCTGCCCAGCCCTGCGCTGGCCCCCTCGCCCTCTCCTCCCCCCCTCCTTCCTCCCTTTCCTCCTTTGCCGCCTCCTCCTCCTCCTCCTCGCCCGAGAGGCGGCCGGGTGCAGGCAGCGAGCAATCCCAGCTGCCGCTCCAGTCTCCTTCTTTTCCCTCAGCCCGTCTGGCACGGGCATCATTAGCGCTGAAAGCTGTTAATGTCTGGTCTCACAGCTCCCCCTTTAGTCTTGCTGCGCTCTCTGTCTCGCGTTCCCCGCCGGATCAATAGCGCCTCTCCCCGGACCTTAACCTCTCCCCTCGACCCCGCCTGGCTTTGGCAGCTGGCCCCCAGTAATAGGTCCCCCCTCTTGATGCCCAGACAACAGGCAGGAGGTGTGGGAACAACGGGTGGCGGAGGTCGGGCCCTACTCTTGACTCAGGACCCTAGATAGGCAGGGTGTCCAGTACCCTGCACACACGCACTCCCACCCCACCCCTTGATCTACCAAACCTTTTTACAGAATAAAAGTCATTCCCATCCCCAAAGAGGGGAGGGGTGTGTGTGTGTGTGTGTGTGTGTGTGCGCGTGCAGGTGCTTAACATAGGAAAATATAAGAAGTACAGTACGAATGTGCTCGTGAAGGAATATTACAATACCTCAGACTCATTTCTCCACTACCTTCTATGGGCCTACTGTGTGCTTGGTCCAGGACTGGGGCTTTGTGCAGACTAGAACCAGGAGGAAAGAAATGCCATATTTTCTGCACTATCTGAAAGAAAGAAAAGAAAAAGAGAAAACAGCAGATGTCAAAAGGGCTTTTTGAACTCACAAATATTTCCCTGCTTTTCTTTTTCTAGCTTCACAGTGCATTCCAGCAGATAATCCCCCATATTCTCAGTCACTTTAAATTTCTTTCTAGAGGAGTAGCTCAGAAATCATAAATCATTTCATCAAATCAGAGTGCATTTTCATTAACCTCGTGTGGGGTTCTGATTCCCTGTGTGTGCTGCATGTCGCACTACATGCAGTGGGGACAGATTAAATAGACACGTGGCCCCCTAAGCCAGGCTTCTTGTTTGAAATTCTTTGAATGATTCTCAATATTTAGCTCTTAGTTGAGGTGGGGCTCTGTTCAAGATCCTACAATGTTATCTTTGCCTTCTGAACGGTTATATTTCACATTATGTCTTCGCAAAAATCTGGAAAGAACCAAGATAAGTAGCATCGATAGAAATGGGAACTCCCAATGTTTCTGTAGAAAGAAAATCCACATTTCATTTGTTGTTGTTGTTTTTTTTTTAAACAGGAATCCACCCCTCTAAAATGTAGTCAAATAACTTTGTAGCAATATAAAAACTGAGCAACACATCTTACCAAGTTACTTTGGGCTTCATTTCTGGTGCTTAAAAAGAAAAAAAAAATCTGCAAAGGCAAATCTTTTTATACTCATGGGCGTAGGGCAAACTCAGAAGCCAATTGCCTGTTAATTTCTATACCTCAGGATCTATAAACACTATTGACTAGGAAGGTGAGGATAAATAAAATGCACCAATCTCATCGGTGGACTGACTGTTTTAACTTTTGAGGAAACTGTAATGGAGGTACAAAGCAAGTCATGCTAATATACGTATTAATAAGGCTCTCAAGATGGCCCTTATCTCCTTCCTTCCAGTTCTAGAATCTCTAGGAGCTCTCCAATCCAGAAGCATAA